TGGAAGGGCTGAGCCGACGTAGTACCTGAGAGAGCAGACTCACCAGCACCTGGGGCAGCAGACGCACTGGCATCTGGGACAGCAGACGCAGTGGCACCTGGGGCAGCAGGCGCACTAGCACCTAGAGCAGTGGCCTCAATGCCCGGGTCAGGCGGTACACACAGGTAACAGTCACCCTCAACACTAGTAGTCACAGAATACATGGCAGCAAGGATAGCATCATAGTCAAGATCAAAGACGGCAACCCCCGCCCTAGAAGGATCTCCCCAGCGAGGGATCTCTGACGCCTCAGGGAACTGGCGACGCCACGCGTCTGTCAGGCGACCGAAGCAGCGCTGGGTGGAGTGCGGGCCCCCGCACTGGTCACCAGCTCGGTCACCGGTACGGAGTTCGTAAGTGCAGGGACCAAAACCCCCACCGCGCTGGCGCGCAGTGTACCACTCACGAAGCTGCTGAGGGGACAGGGTCACACGACTCCGCTGCTGCTGGCGCAGACCACCACCTGAGCCACTCCTTTGCGCAGAGTCGCGACCCGCTCCACCACCGCCGCCGCCGCCTCCGCCGCCTCCTCCACCTCCGCCTCCTCCGCCACCTCCGCCGCCTCCGCTCCCTCCGCCACCACCGCCGCCTCCGCCGCCTCCACTGCTGCCGCTGCCGCCGCCACCCCCGGCACCACTCCCACCACCACCCCCACTCCCTCCACTGCCTCCACTACCACCTCCACCGACCCCGCCAGCCCCTCCAGCGCCCTTGCCCCCCTTGCCCTTGCCGGTGCGCCGTCTCCCACTCGGGGCAGACGCAGCGCCGACCGACTCGAAACCAACGAGGTCGGCCGCAACAGTAGAGGCAACAGAGGGCAAGAGGGGGGAGGGAGAACACCCCTCAAAGACGGGGGTGCGAGGGTCACCACGAGAGGCTCCTACAGCGACTATACTCTTCTCTGCTGCTAGGAGGGCCTTCTCGAGGAGGTCAACGGTGAGAGTGGTGGGGCAAACTGAGAGGAAGTGGTCCCTGACTACGCGGAGAGAGTCAGGGAGCCGGGTGACTATGTAGTAGAGGGTGATGTACATGGGGGGGGGGGGGGGGGGTTCTTGGCGCAGAACTCAGCAGGAAGCGCAGCGCGGTAGCGAGTGTCACTAGTGCGGAGGTGCGTAATGAGGTCAGCGACTGTGGGAAAGGCAGCAAGGTCAGGGAAGAGGTACGGTAGCATGAGGCGGCCCAGTGCAGCAGTGGCAGGGGAAGAGTAGCGTGCAACTACAGCGTCGTACAAGGTCTGAGCACTCTTGTACTGGCTAAAGTGTGCACGCTCAGGGGTCGGTAAGTGGCGGCGCACAGCAAGGCGGGCAGCAGCATCACGCGTGGCCCACTGTGAGCGAACAGTGGCGTCAGCATCAGCAGCAGGGGCAGGAGAGGCACCAGAAGTGAGGTCAAACAGGGAGAGACCGTTTGCCCTATCGCACTATAGGAAAAGCTGCATATCATCTACCCAGACCTCAAAGTCAACTACCCGACCCTCAGCGTCAAAGGTGAAAACACTAGGGGAGGCCATGACAGCAGTAGACAGGTAGTGAGTACAGTGGGGCAGGGCAGTGCAGTGGTAGAGGCGCTGCTCTTACCAGGCAAGTGGGGCGGTCCCGGGCAGGCCGACAGGCGGCAGCGCCTCGGCTGCGTTGGGGCTCGGCGGCTCGGCGGCTCGGCTGTTGGGCGGCTCGGCGGTCGGGCGGCTCGGCTGCAAGGCGGCTCGGCTGCTCGGCGGCTCGGCTGCTCGGCGGCTCGGCTGCTCGGCGGCTCAGCTGCTCAGCGGCTCGGCTACTCGGCGGCTGGGCGGCTCGGCGGCTCTGGCGCTGGGCGAATGAGTGGCGACGGGGCCGCGGAAGGGCGGCGACGCGGCCGCTGAAAGGGTGGCGACGGGCCGCTGAAAGGGCGGCGACTGGCCGCTGAAAGGGCGGCGACGGGGCCGCGGAAGGGTGGCGAAGGGGCCGTTGTAGGGCGGCGACGGGGCCGCGGAAGGGCGGCGACGGGGCCGCTGAAAGGGCGGGCGGCGACGGGGCCGCTGAAAGGGCGGCGACGGGGCCGCTGAAAGGGCGGCGACGGGGCCGCGGACGGGCGACGACGGGGCCGCTGGAGGGGGGCGACGGGGCCGTGGAAGGGCGGCGTCGGGGCCGCGGAGGGGCGGTGACGGGGCCGTGGAAGGGCGGCGTCGGGGCCGCGGAAGGGCGGCGACGGGGCCGCTGCAAGGGCGGGCGGCGAGGCCGTGGAAGGGCGGCGACGGGGCCGCTGAAAGGGCGGCGACGGGGCCGCGGAAAGGGCGGCGACGGGGCCGCTGAAAGGGCGGCGACGGGGCCGCGGAAAGGGGCCGCGAGGGCGGTGCGAAGAGGGCCGCAAGGGCGGCGCGACGGGGCCGTGAGGACGGCGCGACGGGGCCACTAGGGGCCGTGAGGGAGGCCGCTAGAGGCCACGAAGGGGAGTCACACGGGGCGCGACTCGGGCAGGGGCCAAGCGCGCTCCGGGCAGGAAAAAAAAGGTCGGTGGGCCCTAGGAACAGTTCCCACGGGGGAACCTGCTCTATACCATGTGAGAATTAGAACGAGAATGATTGAACTATGAAACAGTTGGGTACAAGTACTAACCCTAATTGGGTTGTACCCCTTATGGACTACCCCACTACAGCCTACACAGATGTATAAGCTATAATGTTCTGACACTCTGAGGGGTACATTCCCTTATTAACTGTTTACATGTCTACAGTAACCGCGACTATTGCATTTCTCAACAGTTACCATATTGCATTGCCTAACCTCTGATGCGGTTGCCAGACTTGCAACAGTCACGACCATTGACTAACAGTGACTGTTGACCTTCCAGTGACTCTCGAGCTGCCGCATGGTTTATATGAGCTATTGCAGTACTGGTACGGTAGCGCTGCTTCGCTATGAGGTGATGCGCTAGGAAAGCTCCTTCGGGAATGCTATTTAATAACCTTTCGGTTATTCCAACACTGTGCACCCCTGCTTACCCCATACCGTACACGACTGTTTCGGCCAACAGCACCCTACAGTAAAACGTAACCACTCGATACCCACCTCGACCACTGTTCCCGCCACTATTCACATGGCAACCCAACCTTACGGTTCGGTCGGTAACCCGCACTTTGGTCCCCTGCCTTGACAAATCCCAACCTCGGCGTCAGGCCCGTCGCGCACCCCACTTCTCGCGTGTTACCGTTACCACTCTAGTTCGCTATATGACATTAGTTTATTCCTCTTTTGCTTCGATAGTGCAATCTTCGTTTGCTCACTCAATTGCACGCTAAGGGCGTGTAAAATTGTAACGACCAAACGCTATGGTCGATAATTTGAGCGTTTCTGGCGAGTGCGAAATGTGTAACACTTAAACGAACCCCGCCACAGACTTCGTCAGCATTTGGAGCACCCACCCCAAACCACCCCATTAATAGAAAAGGAAAAAAAAAATATTTCCTTTAGTGCAATCGAAAGGGGTGTGGAATAAGGGGGATCTGAAGCCTAGACCAGAGAGTTTACCAAAGCAGTGGGTTTAGGTAAACGGAAAAAACATCTCCCCACTGAGCATTAGTTCATTAGTTCAGGCATGTCCCAAAATGAAAATCGGAAATTACCGATGAAAATCGGTCATTTCGGGGTGACTACTCAAATATTAGTAACCCTAATTACTTGCAATCGCCAGAAGCGCCCAAATGATCGACCATAACGTTTGGTCGATACAATTTTACACGCCCTAACGTGTGGAGTGGCCTGCAGAGAGCGTGGCACTTCACATGCCACTCCCACGCCAACATCCTTGTCGCTCCTCGGAAAGCTCATCCACTCGTCAAGCTGGGCTCGTCCACCGCAGCGCGGGTGGCGGCACGGCATCCCCAACCCCATAGCCACCCCCATAGCCACCCCCATAGCCACCCCCATAGCCACCCCCATAGCCACCCTCATAGTCACTCGCACGAGCGAGGTTACAGTCACAGTCACGCGTACGGTCATCGCCATCGCCACCAGCCCGCGCGACCCGGCACGCTGGGGGCGTCCCTGACGGCGAAGCCGCCGCACGTGTTGTCCGCGTGTGCCGCTGTGGTGCTGCCCGCCGTGCTCCTCCTGCAGCTGCTCGGCTTCGCAGGTGCGCTCTTATGCCCCGCCTCGGGCCTCGGGAAGCCAGTTCTGCGACTTGTCAAAAGTGACTTCAGAGTAGCCGTTTACGCCTCGCCTCGCATGCTTGAGCGAACTGGAGGCTATCTTTTTGTCCGCGGGTTCAGGGCGATGGGGTGGTTGGACTGGAGCTGATATAATCCGGCGGTGTTGGGTTGATGGGTCGGAGTGAGTGTGATTAGGGTCCGCGATGTGTGGCGAAAGGAATATCGCGCTCGAGATGAGACTGTCGGTACAGCACAGTGGCAGCACGGCAGCACCACGTGCTGCTCGCACGAGAGTGCAGTCATGCCATGCCTTGCCGTGCCTTGCCTTGGTAAAGCGGCATGACCCTGCTTTTTTCTCCTCTTCTTTCTGCGCAATCATTCCTTGCCTTTGTGGTTTCGACGCCCTGCTCTCTCGCTCTACCGCCGTCTGCTGCCCCCCTCAGCGCAACTCATATCACAGCACACTCCAACGCAGCCCACTCTCGCAGGAGCAGCCACAACAGCAGCAACCACAGCAGCAACACTGGCAGCACCAGCACCTTTGCCAGTAGCAGCAGCGGCAGCGCTTGCAAGATCAGGAGTGATTGCAGCAGTCCCATCCGTCGCTCGCTCCGTTGCCCTAACACACCCTCTTCTCCGCGGCTCCTCTTCCCAGACTCGAATCTCTGGCGGTTGGCACGCCGGGGAAGGTAGCAGGCGCATAGTAAGGGGCGCAGAGAGCGGAGCAGGGGGAGTAGCGAGTGACGGTCGAGGAGGGGAAGGAGCAGGCGGACGAGCGGACACACGAAGGGGAAAAGAGGTGCAGGAGAGGGCGGAAGGCGCAAGATCAACACGGGAGATGGCAGACGCAGAGGCTGATGCGCGTGCGTTTGCTGCAGCAGAGGAGGCTGCAGCTGCCGCCACTGGCTCTGCTGCCAGTGGCCCTACAGGGAGTCACGCGGAGGAGGAGGAGGAAGCGCCTGTGTCACCGCGGTCCCCAACGCCACTGCCAACAGCGCATGTGGAGGTGGAGGAGGCGGAGGTGGCATCGAAGCAGGAGCTGGTGGCCCTGCTGAAGCAGCACGAGGCCACGCGCACCAATGTGTTCCTGCTCTTCCTCGCAGACCACGTGCCCTCCACTAACCGCTCCTGGTGCCCTGGTACCCTCACGTGCCTTCTGCCCTGCCTTGCTGCCTCCTAGGAGATGTGTGCGTTGGCAATTATATGCGTACCCCCACGCACGTAGTTTGTACCCCCACAGCAGGAAGATACGTGCATGCAAGAAGGCCAAGAGTTGGGGTGTGGTGGGTGCGCTTCCCCCACATACCCTGCTGCTCTGTTCATTGCCATCACCATCACCATTGCTTTGACTTCTTGCGTAATGCCCACTCCTCGCTCCCCCCTCATATATCTTTCTTGTTGCCATATTGCTTGGCGTGCCTCCCTGGCACCATTGTTGCAATTTACTGACGTCATTACCATGCGTATGCCCATCACCATCATCACCGTCATCACCATCATCACCATCATCACCATCACCATCATCACCATCATCACCATCCTCATGAGTTCCCGTGGGATTCCCAGCGGTTCATGTATATCGACTTGAACTTGCTTTTTCTCCACATGACCTTCTTAACCTAGCTGCCTCCTCTCCCCTGCTCTACACTCCACTGCCCAACTTTCCTCCACCCTTCTCTCCCCACCCTTTCCCCCCCTCCCCTCCCCCCCTCCCCTTCCCCCTTCCCGTTCTTCCACTCGCCTTCTCCCCTCGCCCTCGGTGTGTGCCAGACTGTCGCAAGTCGGAGCCAGTGGTAGCCACAGCAGTCGCCACTCTACGCAGCAACCCCATCACAGCGCCAGGCCCAGTCCCCACGGCACTACTGGTGCGCGTGTGGGCGGGGGATCGCCCCACCTGGAAGAGCCCGCTCAACCCCTTCCGCTCGCCCCCGTTTGCTGTCCGGGGCGTGCCCACGCTCATGCACTGGGACTGGGCGGCCGCTCCTGCTGCTCCTCATCAAGCTGCCCTGCCTGCTGCAGCTGATGCATCGGCTTTGCCTGCTGCTGGTGATAGTGGTGGTGGGGGGGATGGGGGGGTGCAGGGTGCGCCGGGGAGGCAGCTAGGGGAGTATGAGACGCGCAAGGTGCGGCTGGTGATGGAGCTCATGGTGCACGCAGGGCAGTGACGAGCAGGGCAGTGACGAGCAGGGCAGTGACGTGCAGGGCAGTGACGTGCAGGGCAGTGACGTGCAGGGCATGGCGGTAGTGGGAGAGGAGGGAGGAATGATGCATCGTGTCATGTAAGGTGCTGGTGCTGGTGATGCTGGTGGTGATAACTGATAGTGGTATTGTCACTGAATTGATGATGATGAGTACAGTGGTAAGGAGGAAAGTGCTGTGTGTCAGACTTCAAACCTTGGTTGCTTGAGTACACAGTTAATGGTCTTTTATTGAAAGGATTATATTCCATATTTGTTTGCTTGCTGGTTCATACGGCATCTACAGAACTTAGGAACAGTGATCAGTGATACAAATTACAGAAACGGAACGAAAAAAAAGGCTAAAGAAGGAACGCCACAGGAACACGGATTCGTAGTTACACATGATATGGTACAACTGTAAAAGGAACCCACCCACCCACCCATCACACAGCTTGCCCATGTAGCAGCAGCTCCAGCACCCTCCTTGTCAGACTCCCCTCACCACCACACCAGCACGCTGCAGCTCCCACCTCGTCCTCTCAGACACCTTCTCTGCCTCCACCTTCACCTGCCGCAGCCTAGGGAAGCTTCCCAGAAGCCCTCCAACCCCAACAGCAGTGACACGGGTGCATGCGATGATCATGGCTTGGGTGAGAGAGTGGATTGGGCATGCTAGAAGCAGGGCATCGGAGTTGGCATCACAGTGCTCTACTCTCAGCTGCTCCTCCCCCACCCCACCGCACCGCGCCACTGCCGACCACCTCAGCCTGCCAAACACAGAAGCCAGGACGACACTCTCAAACGACTGCCGCTGCTGATTGGCACGGCTAGCAAGCGCAGGGGAGGGGGGGAGGGACAGGGAGCAGGATGATGCACCTGCTCTGGCATGGGAAGTGAGGGATGGGGAGGAGGTGTAGAGGGGGGGTTATCGGGCAGGCAGGGTGAGGTGGGAGCAGCAGTGAAGTCAAGTTTTTCCCACACGAGACAGTCCAGACAAGGGCTCGTTGCTGCCACCCGTGCGGTGCTTGCCGGCCAGGCCTCCTCTACTTCCTCCTGCTCCCCCTCCCCTTGCACACCAGCCACAGCACCAGCAGCAGCACCACCAGCACCAGCACCAGCAGCAGCAGCAACACCAGCAGCAGCAGCAGCGGCGGCGGCGGCGGCGGCGGCGGCGGCGGCGGCGGCGGGGGCGGCGGGGGCGGCGGCGGCGGCGGCGGCGGCGGCGGCGGCGGCGGCAGCAGCAGCAGCCCCAGCACTGACAGCAGCAGCACGTGGGGCGAGCATGGACTCGAGTCCGTCCACCATGGCGGATGACTGCACTCTCAGCCGCTCCATCAGCCACGGCACCACCTCCACCAACCCTGCGCGTGACTGCGCTGCCACCCTCGCCCACTCCTCCTCCTCCTCCTCCTCCTCCTCCTCCTCCTCCTCCTCCTCCTCCTCCTCCTCCTCCTCCTCCTCCTCCTCCTCCTCCTCCTCCTCCTCCTCCTCCTACCCCACGCTCTCCACTGAGAACCTGCCCCCCCACCGACAGTACCCCCCCTGAATCCCCCCCTCCCCCACCAGCACCGTCCTGCACCATCCCCCCCTGAATCGGGAGCGTGGGGAGCGTGGTGGTGGGCGAGGTGGAGGGCGTGGTGGAGGGCGAGGTGGAGGGCGTGGTGGAGGGCGAGGTGGAGGGCGTGGTGGAGGGCGAGGTGGAGGGAGAGGTGGTGGGAGTAGGCTGCGCTGAGGTACTGCTTGGCCGCTCTGACCAGTTGGAACACGTCCTTGCACGCCGCGCTCGTGTCCGCACTTGCTGCTGCCAGCGCTGCACGGATGTCGCTGTACTCAATCCTCGCGCCACCAATGCTAACCCCTGCTGCTGCACCCTCGGGTGGTGTGGCTGCTGTTGCTGCGGCTACAACTCCCCACCTGTTGCCTCCTGTTCTTTACCTAACTCAACTCCTCTATCTCCACCTTCCCCTCTCACCCGTCTTCCTCCAACCCCTCCATTCCCTCCTCTCTTTCCCCCACCCTCCCCTCCTCCTCCCCTTCCCTCCCTTCCTCCCTCTGCCCCACCCGCCCCTGCCGCCTCCTCCTCGCCCCCCCCACCATGCACGTGCACGAGCATGGCAAGCAGCTCCTCCAGCGGCCCCTGGGCGCCCCTCACGGTGAGTGACCGCGGGCTACTGCAGCGCGCCAGCAAGCCAGGGCGGAAGGACGGCAGGCCGGAGAGAGAGAGAGCGCGAGCAGCTTCCCTGCTGTCAGGCCCAGCAGCACGGTCGCCAGCCCTGCAACGCTGTACATGCGGTAGCGTTTGCTGCTGAGGGAGAGGGAACAGAGGGCGGGATTGGCTCGCACAAGGGCGGAGAGCGAGCGGGAGCAGACGAGCGGGCAATCGTCAATGGTGAGGTGCGTGAGAGTGTGCAGCGCGCGCGCGAGTGTGTGCAGCTCGTATGGGTTGAAGGTGCAGGCGATGAGAGAGAGCGAGGCGAGGGATGAGAAGGAGGAGAGGAGAGGCAGGGACGCATCAAGGTCTGCAGAGTGGATGGTGAGGGAGGTGAGGGAGAGGGGGAGGGAGGAGGAGGGGGAGGAGGAGGAGGAGGAGGGGGAGGTGAGGGAGGAGCAGCGCGCGAGGGGGCAGGCGTCCTGGGGGACGAGGCGGAGGGTGAGCTCGTGCAGGGCGGGGAGCGCGTGCAGGGGGGGGAGTGGGAGGGGGAGGTAGAGGCGCGTGTTGCGCGAGAAGGTGGATTCCAGCTCCAACAAGACCAGCGCGCTGGGGGGAGGGGGAAGGGGACGGGGGAAGAGGAGAAGGGGGAGGGGAAGGGGAGGCAGAGGAGAAGGAGGCAAAGGTGGGCGGGTGTCAGCCGGGGATGGTTCAGAAATACCGGCGAAGAAACAGAGCAGGGGAAGGGAAAGCGGGTAGGGAGGAGGGTACGGGCCTGGGGAGAGAGCTTAGAGGGGGAAAGGAAACGAGGGGTGGGGGGATTTGCGGGGGGAGGGAAAGAAACGGGGGGGGGGGGGGGGGGGGGGGGGGGGTAGAGAAGAAGCGGCACTCGATTTGTCTGCGAATCCGTGCACTCACGGGCATTGCTTGGGCAAATTTCTCCCACGCACTTGCGCTCATGTCGAAATCCCCCTGTGCCACCAGCTTAAGACTTTCCAATCTCGGGCAGCCCGCGCCAATACCCTCCAGCAGCTGGCTCCCCAAACCCACGCTGAATTCCACGGTTAAACTGGTGATGCGGGTAAATACCCTTGAACCCGTCAAGATCTTGCAGCCATTCCCAAGGCTGCACGAGCGCTTCGACCTCGAGGCGGAGCGAGTGTGGCGCGCGGCGCAGCACCGCGTGGACTCTAGAAAATTCGACCCCCCAGAATGTCCCCTCAAACTCACCCCGAGGTTAACCCTAGGTATGCTTGGGGGAGGTAACCTGTGGGTGTTAGACAAGGTTACCTTGCAGGTAAGAGGTAACCTCAGGGGTAACCATAAAGGTCACCTCAGGTTCGCCCACTGTGGTTACACTCAACTCACCCACTGTAGATAATTGAGATAAGGATAAAAGAGTATGATTGCACAATAGAATAAGACAAGAGTGAACAGTGGAATTGTAGCAAATGAGGATGAGCTTGATAGAAGAGAAGATGATACTTAGAACTTGTGACTATAAAGAGAAACTTGTGTAAGGTGGAATGCTTGATGAGATAAGAACTCAAAAAAAGGAGAACGAGAGTATGAGCTTGTTGAGAGAATAAGAGAGGTGATAAGCACTTACTTAAGTGAATCTTACTAGGGATAGTTGTAGAGGTGACTTGTAGGAATGGCTTGGTCTTGAGAGCTTTACTTGAAGAAGAACATCAAGCTTGGTGTTGGGTGATGATCCTTCCTCAAGCTTGTAGGAAGTAATGAACCTTATACTCAAGTAGAGTATGAGGTGACTACTCTTCACTTGATGCTTAACTTTGTAGACTAATGAGAGACACTTTGTGAGCATAAACTTATATTGAAAGAGGTATAGTACAAGCCTTATAGATCCATGAGGGATACATAGGCATGCATAGAGAGAGTAACCATCAATGGTAGCCTTGGAAGAGAGTTGCATGAGAGTATCAACTTTTGGAGACATAGAACTTGGTTGCTAGTGAGGAGCCTTTGTAGTAGAAGAGGAGCTTGAAGGAGAAGCTTGGAAATGAGCTTGGTGAAGAAGCTTGGAATGCATTGTTGTCATTGAAGAACCTTCTTGAGAAGTTGTAGAGATGCTTGATGTAGATGAATAGTATTGGAGCATGTGATGGTGGTTGAGCACTTGATGAGTTGGAGAAGCCTTGTTGAGTTGGAAGAGAGCTTAGTGAGTTGGATAAGGATGAGTGGAGGAGATGATGAGCTTTGTTGCCTTGTAATAGGAGGTGATGGGATAATCATGAAGTCCTTAGGGATGAGGTGGCAACTTTGGTGACTTGGGAAAGGAAGGAAGGAAGGAATAAATGAGAGGCATGTGGAGGTTGATGACTAGGAAGTGGAAGCATGTGCTTGAAGGCACATGGGAGGAGGATAATTGGAGGAGGTAGATGACTTGGGTAAACTTTGATGAGTAGGAAAGGAAAGCACATGGAAAATCATGAGGAGTCATGTGCTTTATGGTGGGACTTGAGGATGAGTATGGGAAGTTGGTTTGAATATTGGTTGAGTTGGACTAGGAAAGTCTATGGTGGTTGGGAGTAGTTAAAGAGGTGGTTGATAGGCTTGAGTTGGAGAGGATGAGTTGGAAAAAGGAGTTTGTAACTTGAGTGGTTGGAATAGGCTTTGGAGGAGTTGAGTGGTTTGGATGGGTTCTTGGGAAAATGTGTCGAGGGTGTTTTGAGGGGAAGGGGTTGGAGTGGCACAGTAGCGTGGCACGTGAAGAGCGTGCCATTCACAACACCCACAACTTATCCACAACTCACCCGCAAGAAACCTCACCCAAAATCGACCTGCCTTCTGATTGGCGTTCAGCGCCTCGATGCGAGAGCAGGCGAGCGCGACGGCGGAGCGATCGGACGGACGGTTGACGCGCGTGAGGATGTCTCGTCCGGGAGGGCGAATAATCGCGAACGGTTACCACGCGCCATGATGCGTTTGGTTACCATCATCGCACACAGAACTGAGGCTTCCAGCAGTTAGCTGGAAGCCTTCCTGGTGACTCCCGATTTCGGGAGCCCTTGTCAATTGGCTTTCAATGCGGGGGGGTAATTGTGGGGCAACAGAACCACCCTGTAGTCAACCTGCGCAGTGCCGAAACCAACCTGCAAGGCGACTGCATTGCGTAAGTTGGGAATCGCATGTCAGTTGGGGCGAGCAAATCGAATTTGTTACCTTCGTACTCGAAAAGCAAGCCCTCGCATATACGAGACTCGAAAAGTTGGGTGTAACCACAGCCGTAACAATTTTGAGATTGTTGGTTGCCACGTGATCACAACATGTATATTTCAAAAGTGGCGGCTTAACTGATAATGGATATTTGTTCCTCCAATGAATGTGATAAAAACAAAGTTAATTAAATTAAGATAACTACACTATCTAAGAGCTCAACAAGATCAACGGCGCGTATATTAAAAGCTACATAAACTATCATAAACCAGGAGTATAATAAGCCACATAAATGTATTTGCACTATTGAGCCACACCCTACGATCTCCAGCAAAAAAAAAAAGGTTAGAAATTAGGAAACAGAATCTTACTAAACTAAATCTACATCCGCTACAGCTAAATCAAGCTCCTAGATATCCTCTACAATCTGCCACTCCTTAACAATAACATCTCCGAAGTAGTAAAACCCACTCACTAACGGGATGCGAGCACGACGAACCCAGCGCTCAACCTGGGCCCTGTGAAAGAACGAGGAATGAATGCACTAGGAAACAGGTGGGTACAAGTAGGAACACCTAAAAGTGTTGTACTCCATAGTATCTACCGCACTATAGCCTACACAAACTATAGCATATAAGTTTGACACACCCCCATAGGCAAAGTGGGGGAGAACAACAGGTCACAAGACCAGTCAAGCAAAGCACAGTAAGCTAGCTCAGGGTGGATCACAACGTCACCACATATTCCGAGCACAATTTCAAGGCCACAAGGCCAGTTCACATGCAAGATTGAATATAAAGGCAAACAAGCAAGTGCAGGTATAGACAGATCACAGTACAAGCAAGGTCAAGAAGTGAGCAAAAGAGGCCAAGTAGGCACAAGACCTAGCATCGTACAAAAGCGCTGATGATCACAAGGCGGAAGTGCCTTGGTAAAGATATGAGCAGTGTTGGCATGAGAGGCCACGTAAGCAAGGCGCAGCTGACCACGCTGCTGCAGCTCACGAGCAAGGAAGTAGCGAAGAGCAATGTGCTTCGTACTGTGCTCCAGTCTGTGCTCCCGACACAAGGCCAGCATGGCCTTGTTGTCTACGTACAGAACTGGAGGAGAACGAGGCTGCTCTCCTAGGTCAGTCAGCAGGTAGGTGAGCCAGCGTAGCTCCTGTGCAGCCACGGCCCCCGCGTAGATCTAAGCCTCACAACTGGAGCCGAGAATAGAAGACGAGCAGGTAGACCGCCACGAAACAGAGCCGGAACCAAGGCTGAAGGTGTAACCCTGTGACGACCGCTGCGTAGCCTGGTCGTCAGCCCAAGAAGCGTCTGCGTGACCTGTGAGGACTACTGAACGCCGCCCTCCAAGCACTAGCCCCATGCCCGACGTACTGCACAAGTAGCGCAACACCCTCTTTGCTGCAGCCATGTGCTCTAGTCGGTGTCTCCCAGGAGCAACATAGCGTGCCAAGATACTAAGAGGGTATGCAATGTCAGGTCGAGTGCAGGTCATCAGGTACATGAGGCAGCCAACAAGCTCTGGGTACGGGCCACTCGGCTCTACGGACTCATCCGAAGGCAGAGCTGAGAGCGAGTGGCGGGTAGATAGAGGAGTGGCCTGAGGCGAGGAGTACGTGAAGTCGAAGCGCTGAAGGACCTGCTGCACCATGTGTAACTCAGTCAGGGTAATGGTGCGCTGTGCTCTGTCCCGGGTGATCTGCAAGCCAAGGTAGCTGCGCAGTTCACCCAGGTCTGTGCACGTGTGTCTCTTCTGCAGCTCGGACTTCACGTGGGCAAGTCGAGCAGTGTCAGCAGTGGCAAAGACCAAGTCGTCGACGTACACGAGGATGTAGAACGGCGGCAAAGAGGTGTCGGTGCGTAGAAACAGCGACGGGTTGGCAGTAGAAGGAGTAAACCCAAGAGCCGCAAGTGTAGTCCTCAGTGTGTCGTGCCACTCACGGGGTGACTGGTGAAGACCGTAGACTGGCCGCCGGAGGCTCCACTGGGTACCAGGAGGAAACGACCCAGTGAAGCCAGATGGGCGTCGCAGCCAGATCTCCTCGTGCAGGCTGCCCTGCAAGAAAGCTGTGCTGAAGTCAAGAGAGTGAAGCTCGTAGTCGCGCTGAGCGGCTATGTGCAGCAGCACCGAAAGAGTGGTCATCTTCGGGGTGGGAGAGAAGGTCTGAAAGTAGTCAACTCCCTGCCACTGACTGAAGCCTCGAGCCACGTAACGCGCCTTGAAGACAGGCGGAGAACCCGGCGGCCGCTTCACCCTGAAAATCCACATGCCACTAACGATGTTCGCCCCAGGTGGGGGAACCTCATCGACGTAGGTGCCTGTGGACTTCCAGGAAGCCATCTCTGCGTCCATGGCTGACTGCCACTGTGAGGAGTAGGGACCCTCGATCGCCTTAGCATACGATCGAGGAGTCGGGATGTCTGGTGCATCTGGGTCTCCCTCAGGGGCAATCATCATGGACTAGAGATGAGGCAAAGCAGCAGCAAAACACTGGAACTCCTCCTGCCTGTCCTCAAGGACATCCGTGCTAAGAGCACACTCACCCCCGACAGACGCAGGACAGACAGACTCAGACTCAGCATCAAGACTAGCAGCGTAGTCTAGACGACAGCGAGCAGCAAAGTCGACAAGCTCAGCAACTAAGGCTGACGCAGCAGGGGTCCAAAGGAAGGGTCATTGACAGTAGTAGCCAGAAGACGCGTGACAGTAGGACTGGCAGCACGAAGGGACTCAGACTCTGGGTCAGCAAGAGCAGGAAAAGAGGACTCTGGAGGAGACGGTAAAGGGACACGCAGTGGAGCAGTGGAAGGACGCAGCGCCATCTGGTGTGTGCCTGGGACCGCAGGAGGACGCGTACGCGGAACACGACAACTAGTGCGAGCAGCACGAACAGGCGACGCAGGACGAGACGCCGGCTCACGACGCTCAGCAAGACGCTCAGCTCAGTGTAGGGAGAAGGAGCAGGCAGTGGTGAGGCGGGTTGTAACTGTGACACCGACTGGACAGGCTGTGGACACTCTAAGGAAGGAGCAGGACTAGTAGAAGGCAGGAGACCAAGAACCTGCTCAAGGAGCGGAACAAAGTACGGCCGCGGCCGTGCAGCGCCTCCAGAACCAGCAGGGACAGCACCAGTAC